CTGCACAAATGTGATAAGGCATGATATATATATATATATATCCACATTATATATATATGTATATACATACATGTTATGTAGACTCTCGACTCTTGATGACCAAAGCCCCTCCATTTGGATTGTGCAACTATTGTATATGGAGTGATATAGTACTTAATTAGTCAAGAGTCTACAGTAGGATAGTGTCATCGGAAGCAGATTCTGCTCAGGACACCAGCCTCATTCACCCGAATGTTCAACCTTCAGATGTGGGACTTCCAAACTCACCCCAAGCACCGACCGACCTAGATCTTCCAGCTATGTCCAAATTTTTCGCCTTGCGCATCCCACTCCTGTATAACAAGCCAGCTTGGGGGCAGATCGACCTCCAAAGGCAGAGCCGACGGATCCAGGTATCACTCGCCCTAAGACTCCAGACACCTCCGAACCCCTACAGTGGTTTCAGAGGTTCGATGCCCCAAGATGTTTTTTTGGATGGGGGTCCATAATATACACCACCAAACTTGGGGGGCCCTGGTGCCTTCTGCTCTCAAGCCGACGGAGTCGGGGAGGCTGTTTGCAGTGGGGCCTTCAAAAACGGGCATCCAGTCACATAGCCCCGGAAAAAGAGATGATTCGTGGCGTTTTTCATCCCAGACATTTCCAGACAGCTTCTTCCTTCGCCCCAGTTCACTGGGCCTGGAAGCCAGCACGGTTCCCAACGGACCGGGCGTCATGTGGGCGCGACGCGGCGCGAGGTGTTCTTTCGCGGTGGAAAGGGGAAGGGGAAGGTAGACCTACTAGCGATGGCCTCCTGGATCTTCTAAGTGTGCAAAAAGTTTGCTGAACTTGGTTGGCCTTAGTTGGGCAGAAGTTCTGCACATTTGGAAGGTCCAGGTGCGGCGAATTTCCGGCGTGGTTCACTCACTCCATGCAGCAGGAGACTTAATTTGGGATGGGTGTTTCAAAGTTGTATATAAATCTGTTCGAACATGTTCGAACATGTATAATGTTGATGAAGGGCATATGGATATGTATATAAAGATGACAGTTATAAATCAACAGTCTCCATTATGTACAAGGCATGCCTTCTCATAAGGTCTCTTGTTCCTACATTCTGATGGTTGAAGATGGGGTCAATGTATGTCAATCTATCAATATTGTGGTCCCATCGAGTGTTTGGGATAGAGGCGCGGAAACTGTTTTTGGACACTGCCAACACAAGACGTTTTGCAAGCGCAAGCAAGAGTTGTATTTAAACCAAAGTGCATGGGTGACGGGTCTCCCTACTTAAAATTACTCTAAAAAACTAAACTAAGCCCAGGGGGACCGTGTTGCATCAGATGCCATGGCCGTTTGGCCCTGTTGGTGGAGATTCCTGGCTCAGGTCGAGGAAATCATGGGACTTGACGGGGATGGTTCCAGATTCCAACCCGTGAAACGCGGAAGTTCAGTAACTCGCTGCGTGGCCTCAGAGGATCCAAGAGGAGAACATGAGGGAACGACTTCGCCTGAACCGCGGTGAGTATCCCCACTCCGGGTTGGTCCAACAGGGAGCCGTTCGGAGCTACAGGGAGTTCGACCTGCTAGTCATTTGTGCTGATTTTTCAAGTCAGCGGCAGGGCGGGTTTGGAACATGATGACATCAGCCAATTGGTATGAATTGGTCGGCCATTTGGACGGGCATGTTCAATGCTTGGTGTTTAGACCCCATATGACCCCATTAATCACTTTTGGAGTAGTGAGTAGTGAGATCAGCGTAGCAATTTGCTAAATGTAGTATATTATAAACTGTTTGTCTTGACTGTGTCGACTAATAAACGCCCCTGAGAATGGTTGTACATCTCAAGGGGGGGTCATTCATCAACCTTCCAAATTATAGGCTTTTGTTGTGTTTGTGTGTCGCGTACGCCGACACCGTAGTTTGGAGCAGATGCCCGGATGTTTTTCTTTCTCCGGTGGCCACCTTACTCGGCAAGATAAAGATTGCTCTACCAAAGCCATCCAATGAAGTTTTGCCGTATCAAAGCCATTCACTAGCTATTAAAGTAAATGAAGTTCAATGAGGCTGGACCTGCTGTGGTGCCCTCAATACATGTCACCCTCTATATGACTGGCGCGGCTCGCGAATCTCAGAATCAATTCCCTTCCGTATGACTCAACGGCGTGAGACAACACGAGTATGTTGACCTCGCGCGGCAAAGCGCCACCGTACCTTGGCCCTCGCACACGACCGGCAGGACCCCCAGTACAGGCTGTGGGGCCTCATTCCACCAATCGCACCAGCGTCGGCTGGACGGACATCGTAGCCCCTTGGTGTCGGACAGGGCAGGTTGGACCATCCCTTCGACCATCCATGTATGGAAGAGTTACCTTCATGTAGTAAGCAACTATGGTGGTTTGGATGGTTTGGGCTTGGACGTCCCTTCAACCAGCAGTTCCATGTTGGGGTGCCGAACGAACGGAGGATGGGGGGCGCCCCTGTCATGCATTCACTCCGTTGGAACTGGTGTGTTCCATGAGCGCCTCATGCGAACGAACCAGCACCTCCGGCCCGGACGAACCAGCGCCTACGGCCCGCCGAATGCATGACGTAAGTCTTGTGGTTCCGCCCAGGATGTTGACCGGTTCGTCAAAACCCGGTGCCCAGGATGCTCACCGTGATGGTTCTGGGGGTGCCCATTCCTGCGCCCTTCTAGATATGCCGGTTGGTGTAAATGAGTTGCTGCTTACCGCACTCGCCCAGAGGGGCCAGGGTCGCGTCGTCAAAGCGGCAAACATGCTGCGGTCAGACCGATGCCATCCGATGCCCGCAACTCCTGGTGGGTTGACATCCCTTAATAAGAGGAATCTGTTCATGTTCAGCTTGATTAAGAATCCGGACCCTCAAACACATAACTTTTAAACACATAGGGTTTTGAGGGCCCGGACCCCTGCTATGGAGGGTCCGACCCCTGCCATGGAGAGCCCAAGGATTCTTGAGGATCTTGGGGTAGTCTCCTACCTGCACCCCAAGGAGGGTTCGGGTCTTGGAAGGCCTAGCAGGGTCGACAACCCAGACCGGCTTGCTCGGCTATTCGTCTGGCCCAGGTGCGCGAGATGAGCAGCTTGGCAGAGAGCTGAACATCGCGGAAGCGAATCCGCTGGGCTAAAGCTAATTAAAACATGGCCAGCAGTCCCATGAAGTGGTGCTTCACGGAGGAAGTCGGGATGCCTTTTAGTCACTTCCTCTCACTGGCTGGATGGGCTAAAACCATCCCGACATGGAATCTCCTGACATAAGATGGAATAAGTAGATTGCAGAAGATTGGCATACATGTCACATTATGTCACTGTATCTTGGCCAATTGATATTGAACTGAGACACGGTCCTGAAGCTATCCTGCACATTCAACCGCATTGAACGCCAATCAGGACCTCCCACACAACGTGATTGATTACCGACGTTCCTCCTCTAGGCACCAGGTCATGCTTCTTCATTGCCCGCCTACACTCTACCCCACCGAAAACTAACATGGACCCTGAAACCAATGGTCTGTAGAGGAAAAACGGCATTCAGGGTGCCATCCTCAGGGTCCATGTAGTTAGTTTTCGGGAGCGTACACACCAGCAGCACAAAGTGCCGTTCTTTTGGCAGAGGAGAGCCACATTGATGGGAGAACACTGATTGGGGCATTCGGCTTTGAATCAGGGAGTGACAGGCTGGGAATGGATCGGGGTCATCGTATCGGAACAGCTGGAACCCTTGCTACCTGTCCAGGGCTATCGCCGGAGTTTACTCGGATTGCGCAGTAGCCCTGAGAAAATTACTTTGAGTTTGCAGTTGAGGCATCTAACAGTGTTGAGGATGAGGCGCGGACACAAGATAGACATGAGAAACAAGAATGACATGACATGACGGGTGATTAAGAACAGCATATGTTGGCTTGCAGGACAGGCTACCAGAGGTATGACCATAGGATTCTATGACTATGGTAGATGGTGTTTCCCCTAGGGCCAAGGATCTACTAAATACTGGTTGCTATGATCATCAGCACACTGGTTCAGTGGAGAATGTAGGGGCCTTACACAGTTTGGCCCAACTTCGTCACCAACTCCCAGGATCTTGGATGACAGTAGCATCATCCTTGGTCGGTGTTGGCATTTCCAGCCTGGTTGGCCTTTGGCAGTTGCCTGAGGCCACTTGACCTGTCAACTAAGGACGTTACCGCGTTTGTTGGTGTGCCCATTTCTTCTTGGGCTGCACACAGGGTTCGCATTTCGCGCCAGGGGCTTAGCGATATCGTTTTGCAGCTTGGCAGGATGGCCTCCCTTGTGACATCAAATTGAAGTTAACCAATTCTCAGACACTCTATGTACGTAATATTTGACAAACCTTGCTACACGAACCCGAAACCACTCCAATGTCAGTAAATACCTGGATCTTGGAAATTGCACCAATAATTGCGGTTCTGAAAAAGGTCCGTTAATTGCGGTGTTTGTTCTCGAAACGTTCAAAAAATGTATCTTTTTTTGGGGGGGGGGGTTGTGACAAGGCAAAACCGGCAACTTGGTAGGGAGGTGAGAGACCAAGAAGGTACCGGCGCTTAAGAAGGTGTCCAAACGGCGTTTTTCCCCGTCCATGGATCTCAAGCCATATTTGCAAAGCTAGTTTTTGTTTTAGCTATGCCGTATTTCACTGGAAAATGCCTCCAGCTCAAATTTGGGCTGTTTGAAGATCCAGGTGTGCAATACATGGAGTGCATGGAAATTGATAGGTGCATGTTTTGTTTCTAGCTGTCATCGCCATTTCTCGCAAGGGATTGTAGATTCAACAGATGGTTGACATGTTTTTAGTTTACTGCATGTGGTTGAGTTACGTTGTGCGCTCATGTGGATTTGCCACCATTTTCGGCTCTTTTGCAAGATTTGCAGCAGAAAATACAAGTTCCCACCCATGCGTCCCAAGCACACATATTGAAAACCATCCATCTTGGCATTCAACAGCCGTCTGGGAAAAACCAATGGCGGCCCTCTCGGCAATGGTGCGCTGCCTTTGGCTTGGCATTTTGCTCAGGGGAGCAGATGCATACACTGCGCGTAAGCCAAGCATCGCAGGGAAGAGCGTTTATTTCCTGGTCACCGACCGCTTTGCCCGTAGTGGAGCCAACAAGGACCGAGCAGAGAGAAATAGGGAGACCCTCAGTAGTTGGAACGGACACGCCCAAACTGAGTGTGCATCCAGCCTAGACACTCCGGTATAAGTTTCAATATTAAGCTTACATGCTGTGCTTTTATACAGTATACACGACCCCTCAGACCGATCCAACGTCGACCAACTGCGCCATACGGGGAGTGTGCATGTGAAGCGTCCCGCCACCAACATGGAAACTGCCAGTCGGAGCTGGACTAGAAGATCACAGACCCATAAACCTGCCCAGCGAGTGGACCACCTGAATATAACCTTTTGGAGAGAGCCAGATGTCCTCCGATTCCTCCACTAACATCCAGGACTACAAACTGAACATTGCTGTTTCAGGGTGACTGAGGGGGTCAGTATACTGGGGGTGGTCTTTCAAAGTGGGATTTTTGCCGTTCTTGTGCGTGAGAAGACTGGGGCCTGTGGGGCCTGTGTTCCATTCGTGGCGATTTGCCCAGGAGAATTACACGTATTGCGATTTGGCGACCAGTGCCGACCCGCTTCAGCCGGGTGGAGGAGCTTGGTGCAATGGCACCTTGCAAGGAGTCATTGATCCTTGGGGGGGCATTGATCTCATCGCTGCGTGCGGTCCCCCATTGGACGACGGCCAAGGGCCCCAAAAGTCATGTGCCACTCAGAGGGTCGCCAGAGCTCTCAGATATATTCAGAAACCAGGGTTGAGTTGGAGGCCATCGCTACTATATTAGGGTGGAGGCCATCGCTTCTAGGTTGAAGGCCATAGCAAGTGAACCACGTTTCCTGAGGGGCAAAGCCTGCTCCCCATGTGCTCAGCTCTTCGCCTTTCTCGGTCGCCTGCTTTCCACGTCCAGTCGATGGTCTCAGGATCAGCTGGACTATATCCAGGCTGGGAAGTCGGGAACGGGGATGGGTTTAGTGGATGGGCTTGCCCAAAAGTCGGCAAAAGATTATCACGTACTATCACGATTGAGAAAAGCCTGCAAGCCATGACAAGCCATCATCCATTGTTCCTGGTCATGGGACATACCCAAGGTCTCATGATGTTCTTTCTGCGCAAGGTCCGACTGGACCCCGCAAGAGCCCCCACAAAGTCTTGGGAGTCACGGAAGCCCTCCGCAATTCCGGTTTTGGAGGGCATGTGGTTCGTCACCCAAGCCGCGCTTTGGTGCGACCCAGGTGTTCGGACCCCTTCCTTGGAAGGCGTCTGGAACGTCCAGTGAGCAGTGACCAGTCTATTCAGGGGGCGAGATTGAAAGGGGGTCCCCCCCCATGAAAAAGACACACCTACCAGCAGTCACAAGACGGGGTGCCGAGCTTGGAGAATACGGGTATACATTATCCACTCACTGGATGGGACTAAAAGCCCCTTTGTGACTTCTGGTACATCAAACTTCTAAATTCATCCACCTCCAGCGGCCTGTGAACTCCTCCAGCTGCCCCCAAGACTTGAACGGGACTCTCCGGGCCCTGTTCCAGGGAAGGGCCAGGCCCCTCAGGGAGGCTGAAGAAGAACACCAATAATGTAATGCTCCCAAAGATGTTTGGAACGGACTACCAAAACATGGGGAACGAAAATAACACAGTCATCAATCAGTCTGACTCCCTGGAACGGGTCGGAATCATTCTGGTTAATGGATGGCACTTGCTTTGGGCTTCGGACTTCTCATCCGAGCCCACTCAGGGCGCCATCGCTTCACGCCACTGTCCGTTCACTCCCGGCATCCAGGGCATGGCCTTCGATTGTGTTTGGATCACGCCCGTGGTGAAGGCCTTAGATTACACAGGCGCCTTGGCTGTTCCACCAGCTTAAAGACCCGCCCTGTTGCTGGTCTTTGTTTTTGTTTTTTTTTTTTTTTCCACGGTGACTGTGAGTGAGCATTGACGCAACGTTTGGCTGTGTGGCAGCTATGGCGAATGTGAATGCCATGTGCCACGCTGTGGGGGGGAGGACAGGAGGCGAGGGAGTGGAAGGTAAATGAAGGCGGACTGTTGTGCCAGAAGCCCAGGTTTCTTCAAAGGTTTGAGCAATGTTGAGTTTTGGATGTCCAACTTGTCAACTTGTCCCGCTTCAGTCTCAAGAACAATCTTTGCCAAGGTCAACGATTGTGCACTGTATATAATAGGTTTAGCCAGGTGCATGAAGGTCTGTGGCCAGCTAAGGCTATTTTGGAGAGGACTTTTTTTGACACTTGGACAGCATGTCTATGCTGGATTCCTTGAGCAGGATTTGGGTAATGTACAATCGTTTTATATGTATCCTACATTGTTTCACACGCTCATATTGTAAGGTGTTGGGTGCATGATCGTGTGTTAAAAAGTGTGGTGCCTCTCCAATTCAGCTGCGGTGATTTGAGCCAGTGGCTGTCCTTCCACAATTGTGCAGACAAATAGTGCTGCTGTCAGACAGAACCACCACAATCGCCGCCACCGATGGTTATGGCTACTTCTACTCGCGGTTCTAGTGCAGGTCTTGCTTACTGAGAAGTGCCTCCACATTTGTTGTCACACCGGCAATGTTTGACCTAATATGATGTGGATCCCTAGGTTGGCTTAGCCAGCTAGTGTTTAGTTTTTTTTTGGAAAGGATGCTTGGGCTATGATGCATTCATGTCGTGCATTCATGTGTGATGTGTATGTAAATTTATATATAATATATATATATATATATATTATACAATGACTATTTATATATGTACAGTCAATTTTTGCCGAGTCATTGTCAAACTCCTGGATGTTTGATAGCTTTGTGCCAGATTTTGTTGACCAACTGAGCATGAACGGATTCTCGTACAACGGATTTTCGCATGCCCCCCCGATGTTCGCACACCCCCGATGTACGCCCAGGATGTGGATCCTCACATTGGGAGCAAGGAGACCTTGAAGGAACTCTCCAGGCAGCTCCACGCGCGAGACATGTGCTTGATCATTGACATTGTGGCGAACCATGTGCGGCAGATGACCGTCCAGCCAGACTATTCTCCTGGAGCCATTAAGACCTATATCGGCCCCAAAGGGATTAACCCTTTTGACAAAGATGAGCCTCAGCTGTACAGACACGGGTGGGAACTTGACCTTGATTGTCCAAGGAAACTGAGGGAGTCAGAGGGACAAGGATGTGGACAAAATCTAATTCTCCCAGCTGGTCCTTTGATAGAAGGTCACTGCAAGCCGTGCATCGACCAATGCATGCGTAAACTTCATGTTGCCATTGCTCCGCTACTGCCGTGTTCCATGCAGGCAGCAACACCCCACCAATCAAGACACGCCGAGTTACTCGGATCCTGGACACTCCGTGGACGGAATCATGTGCCTTTTTCTACACTTAGGGGTGCCTTTTTTCAAGGAGTCCGTGGTTGTTCAATGCATCGTGATCTACCTGGAAATCCGCCCCCTCTTCCCCTCAAATATACCAGTTCCCTGTTAATGAAAGCGCCGCCCAACTGGGGGCGCCTTTTGAAAACCCGCCTGGCCTCCAGTTGTACCTTCGTTTCGTTTCGGTGGGACTGGGGTGGGTGCCAAAACGCCAGGTCCAGTCATACCTACCTCTAGGCATCCAGTCGTACGTCAGGTCAGGTGATGTGTTCGACACTGAGACTGCCCAGCCAGTCGGGTCCAGGAAGGTGAAACCGGGTCTCACCGCACCCGTTCCGCCGGACCTGGTGCTTTCGGTGATGGTGACCGTGTGCGCACCGTCGTACGGTTGGGGGGGCTGAAATCAAGAAACCAGGTTGGGAAGCTCCTAGGCCCTTAAGCATCCCTTCTTTGGCCCTAGACGCAACAGATTCCTTTTTCATATATATGTTGATGTGTTTGACTTTCCCCATTGCTTGTGCACCAAGTGCATCGACGTGTTTTGCAAGGATGGAGTGATGTCTCTCTCTCTCTCTCCATGTCGAGGGTTCTGGAAGCTGAGCTCAAGAGAACAACACTTGCATATACTTGCATGTAGTTTAACACTAGTTAGTAGCATTCCATTGTTCAACCAGTCATCAATGAACTCCAGTCACCTTCCCAACTTTCTCTTTGGAGTGCTATGCTCCTAGTAGCGATGCCAGGAGCCGCTAGTAGCTTCTTGTTCCTAGTACCGTAGCGGAGCCCCAGAAGCTGCAGAGGGAGAGGGCGTCACCGGCGTGTGAGCCGAGGAGTACTTCCACACCTATGGCAAGGCCGCGGGCACGTCCTTCGAAGCATATGTCATGGCGGGCGTGGCGCAGGCCTCTCAAAGTCAGGGCAGCGATGCCGTCCTCACGGAGCGAGTACATGAGGGCATCACCGAGTCTTGGCGCGTTTGAGGTGGACGCCGTGAGCCGGTGCCGGTGCCGAGAAGACGTTTGGAGCATGAGGCCCAGCTCGAGCTACTCCACTGCCACATGGAACCACCAATTGGTCCAAACCACTAGTGTTTGTAGAGGTTTGAGGTCCATGCGTAAGTGTATGTATTTTGTGCGATGTGATGTTTGTCTTCCTGGTGAGACTGCGTGAGTTGCGGCTGAGCTGTCGACCCGACCGGAGGAGGAAGCTGTCTTTATTGCGGATCTTCTTATTACAACCCCTCAGAAGCCCTCCACTTTTCTGTTTGATCAAAACTTTCATACTAATTGTTTCATCGCCAAGATTCTGGCAGGACATTCATCGCCAGAATTTGGGTGTCTTTTGCGAAACTAGGTGCCCCCATTGTCCCGTTTACACCTGGGAGATCCGCAGTTGGAAGAGCTAAGTGGGCGAAAAGAAATGCCACTGCCTGGGTGAGGGACCTGCTGTGGGAGCTGCCCAGGAAAAGTGGACCACCTTTAAAATCCAATCTTTTTGGATCGATGTCTCCACAGTCTCATCCAACCGGTGGCAAGGTGGACCTTTTCTGAGGTGTCGAGGGTCGACACTCCAAGTGCTCCAAGGATTGTGGACCTGAAAACATGAACCTCACCGAGTGCAACTGCTTTCCGGGCAACTTCGCCCCCGACTGTCCGGGGGGCCAATGAAGAGTTGCAGGTGCAAGGCAGCTTGGAGGAAGAACACAGACTGAATACTCAGTTCACTTTGTGCCTTCATAATGATGAATATGGATTGTTTGGACCTGTGAGTGTTTGTTTGGTACTGCTGTACCATTTTTTGTGGTCATGTTGATTAACTAGCTAGCTTTTAGGCCTGAAGAAGGTGCATCCTTAAACATTAGAAAGTCATGCTCTCCATCACAGAAGGCAAGGATGCCACAGTCAGCGGATATTGGACCAGGTTGCACAGGAGAGTTTAGCTTTAGCTAGAGATGTGCAACATCCATGACACGGCCTGGAAGAGACTGCCGTGCTTGAGTGACAGACCAAGGACCAACAATCCATGGGGTGGAATATACCTACACTGACCCGTTTAAGACGTGTGTTAAAAATGAAAACTCATGCAGCGCAGCGCAGGCAAACGTTCGTAATTATTCCAGTCCCATGGATTGGGTGGTGAGCTAGTCGTGGTTCGGGACTCATGTACATCAATATGCCCGTGAGTCACGCGTGGCTCAATTCCCTTGAGGGCTATTTGATAGGATGAGGGTTCTGCCAGCGCCGTCTCTTGCGCCTTCTTCACCACATTGAGAAGAAAACAGTAGAGCATAGTAGAGTCCTCCGAGTCCTCCGTGGCAAGGGCCAAGAACATGGTCCTCAGCACGACCCAAAGGATGGCCTATAGACACACCACAAGATTGGACATAGCCGACAAGACTTCCCTACACATGAGGAGGTGAGCTCCTCAGGTTCGGTATGACTGGACCCGACACTGGTGCCCGCCCAGTCCCACCTTCGAAACGAAGGTACGACTGGAGGCCTAGGGAATAGCATTCCTACAAGCAAACCTCGAAGAACACCTAGAGGGTTAAGAAAGCGTTGCTTTTTTTTTGCATTGTTCATTCTGGTGGCGGGATTCAGTGGGCAAATCAGTGGAACCCAGCACGGGTATGTGGATGGCACCACCTGTTTGTAGAAGGAAATGGTCATCCAAGGGGCCATGCCATCCACTTCCATTATTTCATAGAGCGCAAATCGCTACTTTTAATGGATCGTATTGAAACCTTAAAACGTGGCTTTTGCCAATGTGATGAGAGCGTTTGCCTGGCCGCGGAAGATGCCCAGGTTGGTTTGGGCAACTGGCGGATTTGAATCAGGATCACCCTTTCGTTCGCCAGAAGCTCTTGGACTATGTGAAGTACCTGGTAGAGGAATATGACGCAGATGCTTTTCGCCTGGACACCGCCATCTACATGAAGAAGGCCACACGGTTGGCCTCAGATGGTTTTTGGGCCGAACACGCCGTGCTCGAACGACCTACCTAGGAATAGTAGACCACCTGGACCACCTGTTTTTTTTTTGGGGGGGGTGGTTTCTCCACTGACCATCCAACACTCGGAGAGGAGACTCGTCCAACCCCTTTATGTTCGGCAAGCGGTTCGGGAGTCGTCGACCCAGATGTTGGCCTCCGCCGCTCTTTATTTCTATTATTTCTGAGGCCCTGATATCGCACCGTTCGTTGATCAAGTCATGATTCGCATGCGTCCTTTGTGACGTTTGTAGCGTGTTTTCTTGTTCCGTTCGTAGGAGCGTTCGTAGGTCGCCCCGTAACGATCGTGTCGCTCTGGCTCTCGCTCCGTAACGAACGCCTTGTGGACATCGTTCGTTGAGATCCGGGGCCTAAAGAAGCTGGGCACCGCGCTTTGGTCGTTCGAACAGGCACAGCTTTGGACATGTTTGGACTCCCAGACAATCATGGGACTGGTGACCGGCATCATCAGGCATATATGTAATATATATACCTGAATCTTCCTAGGGCTGCACTTTTTGCGCCTCCAATCTAGAAGGCGCCTCTAGGAACTGAGAGGCAATTTTTTTTGCAAGAGGCGATTCTTGTGTTACATAGATTTCTCCCCAGTTATGTTGATAGAACATATGATAACCGTGATAACAATGAAACTTATACACTTAACATATAGGAAAAACACCACAAACCCCGAACCATGAACCAAAACATAAGTTATATGCATTCAAAAGGTTCAAGCATGATAAACCGTGAAACACATGAAGGCATGATAACTCACTGTGGAAAAGTGAGCGCACACAACATGAAACTATATATAGATATATATGAACTGCTAATTTTCCACTTGGAGTTGCCTGCGAAAAAATGACCCCCACAAGTCAGGCTTTCCCCTTCAACACCTGCATTTCAGGCAGGTCGAACCGGACTTGTGGGGGTCTTTTTTGCAAGGAAAATTGCAAATATGAACATGATATCGCGCAATTTGATAAACACACATGAAAACATGAAACACATGAAAACCACATGAAAAACCTGAAATACATGAAAACACATGAAACATATGAATGCCACATTAAAAACATGAAAGCACGGGAGAGCCACATGAAAAAAATAACACATGAAAACATATGAAAAAAAAACACAATACACGAAAACACACATTAAAGCACATGAAAAACATGCAACATAAGCAAAACCATGAAACACGTGAAACAACGAGAGGCGGAACTTCCCGGGTAAGAGGCGGAACTTCCCGGGTAAGAGGCGGAATTCCTGGGTTATGAATTTTTTGGCATAGTATTTAATTAAGTCGACAGGTTGCCGCTTTCAGGCCCGTCTCTACTCGACAGGGGAAGTGGCGTATCAGCTTCCATCCCGTGTCTTTTCGAGTTCGACCCTGATGGCTGGTTTGACGTTAGTGAAAGAAGAGAAAGATGTGGACAAACTTGATGGTGACGATGCAACCCTGATGTCAGAGCTGCAACAACCGCAGGTGGGGCTGTTCGTTTCTATAGGTATTGATACTCACCTCTAGTCAGTGTTTTGGTCTGAACATTTCCTGGCTAAACATGTTAGCTTTGTTTTCTGCCGGTTGCAGGCGCTCAGGTTGCAAATCCAGCAACTGCCTACTCCTATGAACTCTGCCTTGAAAGACCTCCAAACGCCAAACACCTCGGAGAGTTACGTCTTGCCTGATGATGAAACTCAAACGGCTGGTTTGGGCTTGGACGCAGTTGCTAGCAAGCATGATGAACGTCTGTTTGCTTGGGTTTGACCGATAATCTTTTATCATGTTGATATCATGTTGATAGCTGTCGGCAGCAGCAGCGGAAGACCACCAAAAAACATTACACATGACAAGATTCCCTTCTACCAGAAAAGCACGAGAGGCAGTTTTTGTTCTAAGCGGCAACTCTTGAATGGAGAGGCTAACATTTGAGCCTCTCTGCTAAGAGGCTGAGAAAAGCAACCACCGGAGGTTTAAGGTATATATCACCTACATTGACCCTGGATCAACCACCCGCATATATTATAGGAGTGTCCGGACCGACAGAAGCATATAGACCATATGATGTGTTTCTGTCACCCTTGTGTGAAAGAACTTGTTTTCCGAGCTCTTCTTGTTCAGGACTTCCTGAAGGATTTACAGGAGGCGGCAGGCGTGGATATTCTAGGAGAGACCACCGTGAATAACATCAGCTACTTGGTGTGAACTTGGGCATTGGTTTTGGGGCACATTTGTGTCAAGAAGCTGTTGCCGCAGCAGCCACAATTACGGAGTGTTCTTGTTTTGGATGCATTGGTGGACAATCAGCATGTAAATTTGACTATAAGCCCGCTTTGACTACATAAACCCTGGGATCCAAGTACCTGCTCAGAAGGTGTTTGGGGTGGGTTTGGAGGGTCCAGGTGCCTTCTGAGGTTCGGTGCGACTGGATCCCTTGGTGAGATGGACCATTTAGATCCGTCATAGGGTTCTCAGCCTCAGTCGCCTCAGATGGAACACCAAGCCATGACCTGCACATCCGAGTTCGCACCTGAAAGCTGGGACGACATCACCATGAAATGGACAGAGATACATATATATACCTGGAGCCTATACAGTGACCCCTGTTTTGGAGGATCAACGATCCAAGATATGGGCTGTTCCTATCAAAACAGAGGTCAGTCAGGCTCTAGGTATATCATAACTTGACATACTCCATGGCCCCTTTGGGTGGTTAGTGGACGCCCCGAATCACCCTCGAAGGAGCTACTCATAGACACCTGTTGGGGGTCCTGGCTTAGGTATACATATATAGTTCGCCTTGAACACTTGGGGTTCTAGCAATGCTCAAAGCCTGCCTAGCACTTGTTCCCAGTGGAGTGAACAGAATAAACTGGCAAAACACCAGAATGTTGTACCCGTTGGGTTCGTTCTGGGCACCTAAGCAGCACATCTCGCTGTCCAAGCTTCTGAAACTGTGCCAATAAACCCAAACACCTCTGACCAGCACCACCCAAAGGATGTTTCATGGCTGGCGGTCAGAGGGTCCTTGTTTATGCACCCGAACTGGCGTGGTGCTGGCTGTTTGTTTTTTCTTGTTTGGATTCCAGTTGCGTGCTTGGTTTCTTTGAGCAAGCACGCTTGGTTTCTGTCCCGCGCAGTGAGGTTACAGCGCGTTTTTGGTTGGACCAAATTTGTTGTGGCCTCAACCTAGAAGCGATATAATATACTTTTCTTCATGTTCCTTTAAAGATTGCCTCCAACCTAAGAGCGATGGCCTCCATCCTAAGAGCAATGGCCTCCAACCTAATTTGGCTTTTTGGATCTTTTGCTCAGACACCTGAGGTTACCACGCGAGTTTCCAGAAAGCTGGATTGTCGGGGCTCTTGAACTTTCCAGCCTTCTACCAGGTGCACGGAAGCTTTTGCCAATACCATTTGGGAGGTGACCTGGGCAACTATCACTTGTAACTTGGTGGTCTTGGTGTTTTGAATTTGCAAAGTGCGGAAGCCGCACAAAAAAGGGACATTCTTGATAGTATGGACAGCAGTCAGCTCTTTGATTGCAATTTGATCTCGAAGCAGGTGTTTGTTTGGGCCAAACAAACCCTAAAATATTAGAAACACAGGCCGTGGGCCAATCAGAGCTGAGACTGTAGATGACAACAGTCATTTTCATTGGGCCTTCTCCATACACTCTCTATCGTCACTCGATCAGGCAGAAAGCAACGTACTGTTATAGAAGGGTGCAACTTCTTGCAGTGAGTGAAAGAATCCTAGACACTTCCATGGGACTGGCATATATGCCCTACACTTGGGTGGTTCCACCACGTCAATGCAGGTCGATCTTCCAGTCCCATCGGTCGTGTTTGGGATAGTCCAACCAGTCGCTTGTCAGGTCTTGGCCGAAGCCTGTTCAGTGGCCTGCAAGCAAGGCCATTCCGGGCCCCCCCTGAACAGATGGTCCCTGCGAATCATCGAAAACCCCGTTGGCATCCGCAGGGTTGACGCTACCACCCACTTTCTCAGACCAGTCCTCGGCCCACGCTTCCAAGCCCATTCCGCTTCCGGTTCTCACCTCCACAACCTCCAGCCCACAGCCCGCCTCTCGCCCGCCTCTCGCCGCTCCGAGGCAGGGAGCCTTCACACCGGCGCTGCCGGACTTGCGGAAGTTGGCCTCCGTGATGCAATTTCAAAACCCCGAGGTGAGAAGCATGGAGCGCCCCGCAGCCCGATGGCCGCTGTTCTCGAGCTTGCTTGAGCGAGCGGTGATGGTGACCGTCGTTGAGGGTCAAAAGAGGTCCAAACATAGAGGGAAGCCGGGGAAGCCAACAGAATCAGTGGGGTGTCGCTTTGGCACAGCACGGAGAATACGGACTAGTCCTGTGACACGTCCGCGACTTACCTTTGGCAGGTCTACCCGAACTTAGACTTGTTGGGGAACTTTGCAGACAATCACGATGAGTTCGCTCGGATTGGCACCTTGGAATGGCCGAATGAAGAGTTCATTGCCTTTGGTGGTGAGTAACACCACTGTTTTATGTTTTTTTCCTCTCCGAGGACCTTGTATGCAGTAGGCTATGGGAAAACCACGAGATTGTGAAACCACCCTTAAAGTTAGGAGGCATTCTACTGCTCTATTCGTGTTTTTGCTTCTAGGCTACTACTGTGATGCCGACTCCTATCGCATCAAGAACGCCCTAGCGCTCATGATGTTTGCCCGGGGCATTCCTATTGTCTACTATGGCACCGAGCAGGGCTTGGACGGGCATCAGGCCAATGTGCTGGAGAAGGACGCCATGCGAAAGCAAGGAGTGGAAGACAAGGGTCAAGCCTTTGTGAGGGAATCTCTGTGGCAGACCCGGTACAACACCTCCACCTGGAAGCTTGGCGAGAGATTCTTTTCAACGTTGCCTTCTTATTTTCTAAACCATTGGAGAAAAAGCTAGCTTTCCCTTGGGTTTGTGTTCGCATCCCCTCCTGGCGAACATGTTTTATGGACCAACGAAACAGATTCCAAACAGTACTAAAGAGACGAGCCAAGGCAATATCAGTACATCAAGATGCTCAATGAGAAGCGAAAGGAGTTGGGTTTGGCCAAGGGCGACATCGATGCCGAACTTGTGTCCGCTTCGAACAATCACCTCATTTTCATTCGCAATCACCCACAAGGACGGGGGAACCAACAGGGAGGAACATGGGAAGGAACAGAACCATCCATCAGTGCGGCCAGCTAAAGCATGGTCCACATGCATGACTTTCCAACTGAATTTCTGCCATTGGACCGGGTTGTATGGATCAGAAGATGTCAACAGTTGGAAAATCCAATAAAGACTGTTCTTCATCACTTCAAAGACCTGGACCCCTCCAATGCACTGAAATGAATTTGGATGAATTTATATCAGGCTTGTTTGTTTAACTAAGGTGCAATCTAAATGAATCTAATGCATAGAGCTATCATGAGCATTCCTTTTGGCTCGACGACTTCGGCAAAGCTAAGCAGTTGCTTCACTTAAGCTCATCAACATCGGAGGAAGCGATTTGTCTTTTTAGGCATTCACGTCTCCAAGCACGGAGAGCTACCCGAAGCTGCTGGAAATGATAAATAGACTAAGATCATATACTGCCTGGAACTAATGTGTGGATGGAAGTGGAAAACCAATGAAAACCCCTTTGTTTGTAGAGGATAATGGTCTTCCAAGGGTCATTGTCCACGGTCTTCCATGTGAGTTCCATGGAGTCCACCGGTGCCGGACCTAGCGTCCCAAGTCGTGTAGGACAGGGTTGTCCGGTTGGAAGCAGCTGTTCGTATCGTAAAAGCAAAGGATCCTTTCATTCTCCGCTCGGGCAGGTGAAATTTGGGTGTTCATCAACAACAACCAGAACTGGACTGGCCAATCTCCATTCCTCTATTGCCCAGCGCCCAGCGAACACGAGGCCGGCATCACATAAAGACAAGAACGCCGATTCAGGTGGAAGAATCAGTTGTCTCAGCATGCAAGTACAAAGCATTTGACCACACACCTCCAAACTATGAAACCAACATATGCAGCATGTGGATTAGTTTTGCTGTTGTTTTTGCTTTGGCTCAGTTGTGACAGAGACTATGTTTTTTTGGTGCCTGTTCGTTTCCCTGGCCAAACGCAGGCCTGGTATGATGTCTTTTCCGAAGAGCGTGCCTACTTGCGCCACCTGGCAACCGAGGGCGCCCACTTTTCAGATGATTGAAGCTTCACTCCCCCCCCGCCAACCAAATATTGAAGTGGATTCGGAAAATGGTGTTTCCAGGGATCATGACTGTCCACTTCATGATTGCTTCAGGGAGTGCAACCAGTCTAATCCTCACGACGCGCTTGTGTAACTTGCTTGGGGTGTTGATCCTGCAGCGTCTAATCCTCGGCAAGTGAGTTGCGCAGACCATCCATATATACTTATATAAATACTTGCATCATCACATGCATTACTGTGCCACATGTTCTCCTGCTTCATGCCAGCCCAGAAGGCAGATACATGTTGCATAGTTGGAAGATCCAGGTATAACATGGGCTAAGTATAGAAAAGATTTTCATTTACCCCTGGGCCCTATTTATGATCCTACATAAGTATGTGTGTGTGCATGTCTTTGTATATATACATATCCACGCATATGTACATACTATATCTGATAACAATCTTCCACATATGGTTTGAGTCTGAGTAATCACTGAGTTTTGGAGGCAAAGGCTGCTTCATGGCCGACAACGCCGAGCCCAAAGTGCTGGTCCGCCGCGTGCGGATGCCGGCGGTCTATGCCGTGGAGCGCATCAGCGAGCAGGTTTGGATCCTGTCGCCTGGCGCGGAAGCCCGCGCGGTTCCAACGAGAATCCGACACAGAACCGCGGGTTCCAGTCTAGGATCTTGAATTCATAAAGCTCCCAACATGGAACATCTCTTGGGGGGGGCGTTGAAATCAAGATCCATTCTTCATTCTGTTTTGGTTGGGATGCGACCTCGGATTTCATCACCTCTTCGCCCCGGTCCCTCGGGTTTGGGGCCCAAAGCACAGGTGTTGTTCCAGCCGGATCCACCGGGTCCTTCTCTTCGTTTCACCGGCCCAAGCGGGGAGGAGTGGATCACCTGCAAGAGTTGGTTTGGTTTGGACGTTGGGCACGTGCTGAAGAGGTGGAACGCATGGTTGGGGTTGAGGTTCTTTCTTCATACATGAAACAAGAGAAACATTTTAAAAAAACAAAAACCTACTGACTTCATATTGACTTCATACAAGAATCTGAGGGGAGAACATTGTTGGCTCTTGATTTCTCAGCAGTAAGGTCCTGGCCTAAGGAGTCTGGACCTTCTTAACCTCCGTCCTCCGTGCGGTGCTGAAGGGACTGGCGGGGTGCTGAACGGGTTTGGAAGGGTTTGTCCCTACATGTCCCTACCTTCTGAAAGTGGTTGGAGGTCTGACAAGGGGTCTGATGGTGGCACCTGACCAGCGACGCCTTGGTTTGAGTTGGGACCCCGGAGATGGACACCAACCAACCGATGATCATCCCTGACCCGATGGATCCACAATGATCCAATTACTAGGACCCACAAGGGGTGGTTCATGGACACCCCTGAACCTCTAAGGGGCTATCAATGGACACGCCTTAGGTGTCCTGGTATATATAATGAGGTGATTGGAGACTCTTTCATGCACACGCCCTTTGTCTCAATCGGCCATGCATGGCCCCGAAAGGAAGACTCATTTTCATCTACCAAGAGAGGGCCCTTGTCCACTTCGATGCTTGGGAGGGAGGGTCCCTCCCCTTCCAGGGTCCAGTCCAGGGGTCCCAGTCCGACCCTTAAGAAGGTGAGACCAGTGGGATTGACCTGTTTCACGTAAACCGAGCAGACCTGAGCAACCGAAATCGAGGTGGGTCTTCATTTTTCTACTCGTTGCGTCCAACGTCCTCCTCTTGGCCTACGCGTGTCGACATCGTCTCAACTTCAGCCGCTTCAAAGTCCTAGCGGAGGATGACGACACATCAGACAGTGACAAGTGCTAGCAGGACACGGAGCGGTCAACTCAACCAAAATGCCTGGGTCCGCCAGAGGCATGGTATACTATGACGCAGGTCAGTGTCGGAGATTTCCGTACTGGAAAGCTCGACTTACATGATTCGAGAACGGAACATGGGAAGCACATGGAAGATCATGGAAGTACTACCGACTATTGCAAAAATAAACAACTAACTAATCCGGTTCATCCATTCATGAATCCACCAATAAGTGCCAGACATAACATCCCAAAAAGAGGCTTTCGTTCTCATTTGTGCAGACAACGATTGTTTCATAAGCTTCACTCTGTAGAAGCTGGGCGGACTCTCGTTGCTCGCGTTATCACTTATAGCCCTGCCTTGCGGCCAAAAAAGACCGATGGACTTGATACAGCGTGGGCTGGAACCAGTCCCAGACTTTCCATGGGACTGCAAGAAAATATATTATATCATACCTACCTTGACTCGTAACATATCTTAAAACCTCTTAAAGCTACCCATCCAAGTAGGCAAATATATCTATAGAGGGATGGTTTTGGAGTTCATAGGGGGTTCGGGCTTCATGAAGACTCCTTCATGCACAGACTGGCATTGGCCAGACAAGCCAGACTGTGACTCATACATGCGCACACCTTCTGCCAGACCATGCCTTATATCATACAAATCACCTATATAGGTGTTTTTTCGTTCCACTTACGGTATTTTTGGTGCATGTGCAACCAGAAGAATATACCCTGTATACAAACCACCAGCGGGAGCGTTTCACACCTACGGTTCATGGAACGGCTTGCGGTTTGATTGGCAAGTCCTGCCACGTCCTGCTGTCTAGTCACCCAGGCTGGATTTGGGCATCATCAACCCCCGGGGTGCCTCCAATAACACCTTCATCGAGGCGATTCCAGGACGTTGGGGCCGCTCAGAAGCTTCACGTCACGCGTCGCCAAACATGTGGCGATGAAGCTTTGTTCCAATTCGATGGCAAAGATTTTTCACTTTCTCATGTGTGTGTGTGTGCCAACCCCTGTTCCAAAGGGTGCTACTTGATAAACAGGGGGGACGGGACACCTCTGGCATTTCCCGTCCAACGAAGAGGATGCCAGCAGGTGCTGATGCAGTGGGGGACGCCCCACTGTGTACCTGTTCCATGAACTGTTGCTTACGCTGTCCAATCTTTCCTTTTTGGTTCCATGGTGGTTCATGCTACTTCCCCTAAACCCTTTCCTTTGCCGCTCGCGCGCGCTGCCGTCGCACCACTGCAGATGAGAAACTTCAATGTTAAAACACCTTCAAGTCTTTGGACCTTTCACCATGCCGTTCCATCGCCTTCCTTCTCATCGTGGGAATTGAGTAAACAGCAAACCAATGTCAGAGTGTGAGCCGCTCAGCCGTCCCACTTGGGTGCTGGGTGTGCTCCTCCGCAAGGAGGCGCCGTTTTCATGCCGGAAATCATTGTTTCCATTTTTATAATTTGATTTCTCTTTCTCCACTTGTATAACTGAATTTACTGATCCAACAGCCGTCGGGCTTAAAAACGAATTTGACAGCCGCCGGGCTTAAAAACGGCATTCACCCCCCACTTGAGGCAGGTCTCCCGACCCCCCCCACTGTGTTCTACTCCCTACCTAATTTGGGTAACATAGGGAAATGGTACTCGACACACTTGTGTGTCGGTGCCTTTCCCTCTGTTGTCCCTTTTCTAGTCTACCCTACCCGGGCGGTTTAAGACTAAAGTCCCGCTCCCTAACTATTGCACTTAATTCCTTTCCGCTAAGTAGTCAGTAACTCTAGAGGGCTAAGTATTCAAACACACACATGTACACACACATGGGCGCACACCCCCACCCTGCCCCCCGCTTTCCTTCTTGCGCTTTTCGTCGTTTGTTGGGCTTTCTTTCAGGCTTTTTAGGTGGTTCTTGAGGCTCGTTTCCCTACCCCAGTCAAGGGCTAAGTATTCATTTTTCATTTTTCTACACCTATCGTTCTCTCTTGCCCTCTTAGTGCTGCTCTTTCTGTCTTTCTTTCTTTTGTTTCTAAGGCTTTTTAGGTATCTATTCAGGTTTCTCACGCGAGCGCCGCAAAGCGGCGCCGTGTGTGTGTGTGTGTCAAACCCTGTTCCAAAGGGTGCTACTTGATAAACAGGGGGACGGGACACCTCTGGCATTTCCCGTCCAACGAAGAGGATGCCAGCAGGTGCTGATGCAGTGGGGGACGCCCCACTGTGTACCTGTTCCATGAACTGTTGCTTACGCTGTCCAATCTTTCCTTTTTGGTTCCATGGTGGTTCATGCTACTTCCCCTAAACCCTTTCCTTTGCCGCTCGCGCGCGCTGCCGTCGCACCACTGCAGATGAGAAACTTCAATGTTAAAACACCTTCAAGTCTTTGGACCTTTCACCATGCCGTTCCATCGCCTTCCTTCTCATCGTGGGAATTGAGTAAACAGCAAACCAATGTCAGAGTGTGTGTCACACCCTGTCCCAAAGGGTTTTTTCTTTCAGCATCAAGGGGGGCAAGGCCTCCAGCTCATTATCTAAGTGTGTGCTCCCGCTTTCTGGCTTGGGGTTGTGATGAAGATCGTTTCATCCACCCAAATCCAGGTGCTGGACACGTCTGAGGCCCCTTCTCGCTGGTGGTCTCCGCAGCCGAAGGCTCCACCTTGTCTCCGGATGACCGGATTAGGCGCGGACAGATTAGTCTCCGGAGTCGGACGGTCTGCACGATCAGCACATGAAAGGCGAGAAGAGAAGCATGTTTGATGTTCTATCGTCATTTACTCTTTGCTTTGCAAGGGGAAGCAGATCAGATGGTATAGCCCTACCCTAGCCTACCCTAGACATTATCAAATATATATATATACCCGCGATATATATATATATATACATTATATATCTATGGTTTGTGTCACGGGAGGTTTGCAACAGGTATCAACAAGTTCTGTCCTGGCATTTCACTGTTGAATTCTTGGCCTTCTTGCAATTGCATGTGGAAGTGCAACAGCCCTGATGCATATGCTACAGCACCCGCAAAACTGCGCGAAAGCGTCGTCTATTCTTATACAGATCTTTCACAGAAGGGGGTTGCGTTTTGCGGTAAGTTGGCTCACTGGACGAAATCAATCATCAGCACTGCACAGGGTAGGCTATATTTATATATAGGGGTTTTCTGCAACAAGCCATGTGAAGAGCAACAAGCGAACTGGATGTTTGAACAAGCCGAGTGGATCCGCTCTCTTTGATACAGTGTTTGTGTTCTTTTTGTCCCGACTCTTTCTGCACAACACCGGCCGCTCAGTCATTTTGGCATGTTCCTTTTGTTGTCACTGAATAGACGAGCTCCATGACGTGCTCTTCCACAGGATTGTGCATGCTTCAGTGTGGGCGACCTCAGTGTGTGAGTTCCCTTTTCTCGGTGTCGTGTGGCACGGTGAAAAGGTGGTTTTCCCGTCGGCGTTCCAATGAAGGATCCCGAATGACCATGATTCCTTCAAACAACGCAGCGGCATGTTCCCCCCACTTCGGTGAGCCTTCGTTCATCTGGGGGCCGACAAGCCACTGTATCCAGTGGCTAACAAACTGTTCAACTGACCGACCCGGGAATCTTGGAACAACTATAGTGTCAATTTCCCCATGAATCTCATGAATCTTGAGCCTCATTTGCTGCTCTACTTCGCCGCCTCCAGTGGGCGATTGGCGCTGCTCCAATCGGTGTTGGGCCCAGGTCTGGTGGGCAATGCGGTGCCTTTGGCACTTCTGTCAGTGGCCTCAGACCAGACCAGAGGACCTGCAAACTTCCGAGACCCAGACATGACCATCGTGAACTTCCAAGTCTGCCTGCACTCGGGGTGGTGTGCAATCTCAAATAGGGGTCACTGAGGTTGGAGAGGGGTCTAGTTGAGGCGGGAAGGACCAACTGAATTGAACCACGAAGCATGGAGTTCCGAACCGCAGGCGGCCGTTCGATGGTCTGGATGTGGGAGTTGTTGGCATGGTTTCCATGGCAAGGTGTTTGCTATTTTGGCATCCACCCGTAAGCCGAAAGCACTCAGACCAAATCAGTGAATCAGCCCATGTTTTGGATGTTTGACATGCAAACTCGGACGCGCAACTTTTTTTTCATCCAGTGAAGCATATTTTGAGTCATTTATCACGCCTGTTTCTGTGAACTTTCTCAACCACTCAGGATGACACTAAACCCGAACTTCAAACTCGATGGGTCACCGAAGTTCCATTTGTTGCAACCAAGGCAAAGTCCACTCAGTTGTGTTCCGTGTGTTCGTGATGTTAATTATTAAAATAAATCACAGCGCAACCGCACACGGGGCCACACTAAATCTCCGGACCCGGTTGACCCAACAAGCTACTACTGCTGTTGCTGCTGCTGCCACTACCACACTTGCCATGCCATCACACAAAGTCAATCGGGTCAACTGGGTTCAACTGGGTCAACTGGGACCACAGATTTACCGCCCCCCTGTGCCGACGCATTCATCAATCATCGGAATCATGTTTTCAGGCATCATATTCAACACCGGGATGAGGCTGTAGCATGCTGTAGCTGGACATTGCCATCACCCATATCTCATTGGCACTTGAGGCCACCATAGGCCACCTCCAATCGAGCGCCACCAGCCATCCACCGCCAGTGGCTACCCATCCCCGCTGCTCCTCCGGCGCCCTGCGCACTCCAATCGCTCGGAGGAACACTCCACCGCCGTGAGCTCCATTGCTTGCTGGCCCACTTGTGTGGACTCTCCCATCTCTGGGGTGCGGGCAACCGATGGGATTGGATGGATGGCTCAGTGAGATGGTCATGTTGAGACAGGAGTCGATCCATGTCGATCCTTTTCTGTTTCAGTTCAGAATGTTGTTGCATCTTCGCATCCACATCTATAATACCATGCTAGTAGTCATGCTATTATATATATATATATACTTACTATCATATATACTATGCCGTACAGAGTGGGACGGGTTCAAATCTCAAAGTTGCCGCTCAGTAACAGCAAGCGCATTTGGCATGATCACTCCCTATGGATCCACATACCAAGAAGGTGATTGTAGCCTAGAGCCTAGAGATTGCACATCTTTGAGATGTCAGACCTTGGATTCCCTCCCTGGCCGGATGGCACGGCCGCGCCCTTTTCAGAAGCGAACAC